CTGCCCGCCGCGGGTCCCCGTCCTGCCACGCCGTCCTGAGCTCGGCATCTCTGAGAGCCCCAGGGCTGGCCTTGCGGGGCGGCACCCGCCGGCGCTCTGCGCATCTCGACCGGCCCTCACGTTGCTGCCCCATAACCACCTGCGAGGCTCAGGCGCCATTGGTGACTGCTGTGGTGTCAGGCACCCTCACCTGTCACGTCCAGTCGTCTCTCCTGTCGCGTCCGGCACTTTTCCTGGCACTGCCCAGGCAGCATAACCTCAAGCTAGGGCCTAAAGCCCTTCAGGACCAGAAGCTGGGGCTCAGGTGTCCCCCGCTGCCCTGGCTGTGAGGCTGCCCTCCCTGCTCCTCCAAGGTCTATCTGTGCCGTGCCCGGTTCTGGGGTTCCGGAAGTGCCAGCGCTGGCCGTCCAGGCAGCACACAGGCACTGTCTGAGCAGCCTCATCGAGTCATTAACAAACTTCGTTTTCAGTAGCTGGTGTCTTGGCGGTCGCTGGTAACAACCTTTATTCTGTGTGGAGGATTGTTGGTGGCGATGAAAAAAATGAAGAAAGCGAAGGAGGAAAGTAAGTGTTTATTCACAGTCTGGTAACTTCCCCACTCCCTCTCAGCAGCCTTTCCACCAGCAGCCTTAAGTGGGCTGCACTGCTGAGCGATCTCGCGTAGGTGATTGTATCATGCTCTTGCTTGCGTTGCTCTGTCCCCAAATGTGAGATCGTAGTGCCTTTTTTTTTCCCAAACCACCTCCTGTTTGTCTAGGCAGAAAAGCAAAATAGAATGTCATGTTTTGAATTAAAAACATTTTATTCAGTTTTGCTGTCATGCTGCAGTCAAATCTGAAATAATTTGGATCAAGTCATGATTTATACTGTGCTAGTGTGTGAGTGTGTGCATATAAATGCTTTTATACCATAGAAAATGTGAAGATGAAGTATTATAAAATTCTTAGATACACTTTTGTTGTTGAAATGGTTATGTTTACTTATACCTGCTACTATGAGTAAACATGGCATGAATCAATGCAAAAGCTGGAAAGGAGAAATTTATAGGTAGGATTTTCTGAGCACATTGATTCCTATGTATGTAACTTCTTTATGCATTTACCCATTCTGCAGTGACTGCTTTCTGTTTTCATTTTCATGTTTTTAATACTGTCTGTCCCTAAAAAACAAAAATTGGAAAATATGGAAATATGTGTTTGGATGTCAATAAAAGAGACAACAAAGAGATGTTTCGAAGGAATTTAGTGATGTATTTGATATAGGAATTTGCTCAAAATCAAATGCTCTGCTTTGAAGTCTTGTTCATGTTGGACTTGCTTTACAATGGCCATTGGTAGACCTTTATATTTTGAGGTGTTGGACTGTGATTCTGCAAGGTCACGTTGCTCTCAAACTTTAAGTGATTCTGAAGCTTTAGTGGGAAGGGGTGTATGTATCATGGAAGTTTATGATCTCCTTTTGTTTCCTGTAGAGCTGGAGAAAGAACGGAACCGAGGCATTGGGAAACCGTTACTGGGAGGGCCCTTCTCACTTGTCAGTCATGAGGGACAGCCCAAGACCAACAAGGACTACATTGGCCAGTGGGTGCTGATCTACTTTGGCTTCACGCATTGCCCTGATATCTGTCCTGATGAATTGGAGAAAATGATTCAAGTGGTAGAAGAAATTGGTAAGTGAATTCGGTTGGTGTGGAGATTATTTTTAGAGGCGGTCAGAGTTTATTGTAAAACATTACCTATGATGGTAAGTGAGGATCTTATGAAAAAAATACTGTTAGTTACTGTTCAGTAGCTGAATCAGAACCTGTCATATGAGGAAAGGCTGAGAGAGCTGGGATTATGTAGCTTGGGCAAGAGGACTCAGGAGGGATCTTATCAATGCATATAAATATCTGAAGGGAAAATGTAAAGAAGATGGAGCCAGACTCTTTTCAGTGGTGCCCAGTGACAGGACAGGAGGCAGTGGGTACAAACTGAACCACAGGAAGTTCCATCTGAATATAAGAAAAAAAAATTCTCAATGCAAGGGTGACTGAGCACTGGCACAGGTTGCCCAGAGAGGTTGTGCAGTCTCCGTCCATGGAGATACTCAAAGGCCGTCCGGACAGGGACCTGGACATTGTGCTTCAGGTGACCCTGCTTGAGCAGGAGGTTGGACTAGATGATCTCCAGAGGACCCTTCCAACTTCAACAATTTAATGAATCAACTGATAGATGACACATGCATTAACCTGTCTCCAATTGGTGGAACGTCACTGAGATCTGATTCTTAAAGCCTGATGAGGATGACCTTTCTGGAGCTGGGGAGTTCTTGTTAACATAATGTGTGATGGTGGCAGCTAAACAGTGGAAAAGAGAACAGTACCATCACAGAAAAAATATTTTTGCTGAGAGGTGGTCTCTCCCTTGCTCATTCTCTCTCTCTTGCATTCATTCATTGAATGCATCTTTATATGCAAAAATATTTGCCTGTTCCTGGCAAAATGCAGTCTGCCCAATGTTGATTTAATAGGAGGTAAAGGCTATGGAGCAACCACTCTAAATGTAATTGTTCTTAGCACAGTAATATATTGTCGATCCTGATAGTTCATTCTCCTGACAAATGTCTCTAGCTTTTCATCTTGGCCTCACTTTGGACCTCTGCATGAGACTGAAGTTTCCTCTTGGCCTCGTTTGGGCATTTCCTCTTGTATTCAGGAATACTCTGATTCTAATAACCTTTTGACTTCTGAGAATCACTATATTGTAGAACTGAGGTTGGGAGAAGGATGTGTGGTACAAACGGTTGTCTCAGGCTGCAGCTCCTGAAGAGTTAAAGAACAGGAATAATAGTAGCCAAGCAGGTGGAAGGATGAACTAAAATACAGAAAATACAGTGCAGGAGGCAGGGGTGTGGGGTATATGACTGGAACATGAGAGAAAGATCCTGAACTGTGTCTCCACCTATTCACCCATTCCATCATCACCAGCATGTTTTCATTGTACCAGCCATCATGCCTTGATCCCTAGATTGTGGTCTGGCATTTCCTGCATCAGAGCCAGTTTGTCACCTCTCATACGTATGACAGGGTCTCCAAGTAAGAGAGTGAGAAGTGAGCTGCACGTAGCACAGAGTGTTGGATTTCGTGGCCCTTGATTCCTTCAGAACTTGTATTATATAAATTAACCTGTATGAAATAGTCTTTTTTTTGTCACTTAGGATTGATGTAGATTCATGTTACAGTAGCTTGATTGTAACCTTATTTGGAGGGAGCTGAGAGACAGTTTTTAGTTTGCTGAGGAAAATAACAATTGTTAATCTTTGTGGTCACAGAAGGAATTCCGTCTTTGCCAAATCTGACCCCACTCTTCATCACCATTGATCCTGAGAGGGACAATGAAGAAGCTATCGCCAGATATGTAAAAGGTATTAGTTTTTTCTTCCATGATGTCTTATAACATGTGGTACAGAGCACTGAAAAGGAGGATCTTAACATGATTCTTAACATGATTCACTAAAATGTATAAAATGTCTAAATGTCTTCTTCCCATATAGAATTTTCTCCTAAGCTGATTGGATTGACTGGTACCAAAGAACAGATTGAGCAAGTCGCCAGAGCTTACCGTGTATATTACAGCGAAGGTCCCAAAGATGAAGACAATGATTACATAGTGAGTAAATGTAGGGCCTTTGCCTAATAGTAGACTTTGAATGAAACAGGATATGGATTTCAAATTGGAAGACAACTGTTATAATTTGTGCTAAAGTCCTACATGACAGAGTCCTATTACATCGACATGTTAAGTTTTATCTCAGAGGTCTCAATCAGAGTCAAGGTGCCATTGTTCTATGCCCTTTTAGGAGCTCACAAGCTCACTGAAAAATGGTTCAAACAAAAAAATGTACAGTCCAAGGACTGGATACAGAATAGCACACAAGCTAACAAACCTGGGGATAAACTGACTTTTTTTTTTTTTCCCCTGGAACTGGTAATTAATGTAATAGTAAAAGAAAGAAATGAAGGGGAAGTGAATAACAACTCATCCCCTGCCAAACTGAGACCCAGAAGCAAGGTTCTCCTGGCAAGAGACTTGGATAATGCAAAGTTTGCGTACAGGTCCTGTGGAAGTTTTCCTCCAATGTAAAATGTTTAGCATGTTAATGCTAAAGCAAGTGGGAATAAAATAGGTACAGAGCACTAGCGTGAAGGGGGAAACTGAGGTTTATATAAGGCTAAACTGGGTAGTCAAAATCTCATTCTTTGTAAGTGAATGGGATTGACTATAGGGCTCGGAGCTACTGCCAAGGCCTTCCTGATCTGCCACATTGTGAATGGGCTGGAAGAATGAGGCAAGTGTAAGTAGTAGGAGAAGTGTGGATGCATGTTATATTATCTTTTTTTTCTTTGTTACAAGAACTAAAGGGTGTCAGAGAAAACTAAAAACAGGTTCAAAAAGGAGATGTTTTTTGACATAATAGGGGGTAAGAAGTGGAATCCTTGCTACAGATTTTGTGGACAGTAGAAGTTGACATGAGTCCAAAGAGAGACTTGATTATTTTTTGGAAGAACAATCTGTTGAGGACTGTGAAATACGTAGAAACCATGCCTTGCTCAGGAAGCCTGTGAGCCAAAAAATGCATATTTTTGTGCTGGTTTTATACTCTTCTTTAAAGCAACCATGGATGGCTGCTAATTAAGACAGGATGCTGGAGGAGATTTTTTCATCTGATACAGTATTGTCTGTTCTTATCTTGGTTGTTATTAGCAACCTGACTGTAACGTATACATTACCCATGTGGACAAAGAGACTAATGGACAAAAGAGTGATGCATAGAATGAAACAGCAAGAGTAACACATGACCTCAGTAAAGAGAGGGCAGAATCACACTAGCACTATGTACCACTCTGAGTTACTGAAAGAGATGTTAAGTGGGAGATGAGTAAGGGAGCTGGATTTTGCTGAGGTTGTTTCTAATCAACAGGGAGTGTTTTGAGTGTGTGACAGGGGAAAAGGAGTAGAGGGCACTGTGGAAGGAAGGCCAGTGGATTTGGGGCAGGAGAACAGCCTGGGAGTTTCTGATGTGGTACCAAGGAAGAAGAATATATCTGAATCTCTTCAGGATTTGGCATTGGCTCTTGGTTATGATAGGTAATGAGCACTATGTGTTTAGGGCAGGTAGGCCAGAGGACACTGAAACAAATTGGAAGGAGGATTGCAGCAATAGCAGATTGGGAGGAAAAGCTTGAGGCTGGTTTGTGTGCTGACCTGAGATGTATCCAGGTAACTACTACTCTGTTGTGCTCATTTACTACTATGAGGATTCTCCCCACCCCAAATCTTGCATGGACCTGTCATGCCAGTCAATGATTAAGACTGATGTTTGTGCAGAAGCAGGTTCTGTTTTCTCTGCAGGCTGCTGGGAGATGGTCCAGTATAGCTGGTTAGACTTCTCTGCTCGTTTTTACATGAAACGAGCATTGAGTAAAAGCATCTGTTTGCGTTTTTAAATTATTATTCATATATTACTAATATCTTCCACAGGCAAGGGAGTTAAGATACTCTCAGCAGGCTGCTTCATTTTTTGCTATAGTTTCCAGTGGAAAGACAATAGGATCTGAATTATAATTCAGATTCTTGTAAAAACTGTAGCTCCTGGTAGCTGAATTTGTGATTATCTTGAACATTTAAAAATCTAGAGTAGAATATTTGACTTAAATATACTTCAGAACAAATTTTAAGAAACAATGGCATTTTTGTAGTCAAAGGAATCTTTAACACATTTTTAGCTTCTAACGATGCAAATGCTTATGTGCTTTCTTAAATTCAAATGCAGGCTTACTTTCACAAACTACTACTTTCCCCAGTGGGACTAAGATTATGTACTCACTTTAGCACTTGCAGATTCATGGCTTCAGTTTTCAGTATATTGTGTCTTTGCTGATAAGAAATGCCATCACAGTTACGTGCAGACCATACCTGCACGTAAGCTTAAAAAAAAAAAAGAGTTAGTTTTATGTAAATCAGATAGAAATATCTCAAACCTTCAAAATAGTTACTTGGAAAATTTATTTAGATTATTCCAGCTTCTTTCCCATTAGCTCCACTCTGACTCCACTGTGATGTCTGTAAATGCCACATAAGTAGACAGTAGAGGGAGCCCCTTCCCAGGACACTGCATTTCCCTCTGCACTGAATCCTATGTCCACAGCTTCCCTCACCCAGTGATGTTCTTAGTCCTTTATTTGCTCTGACTGTATACTTGGTTTAATGAAATACCGACATTTATGTAGGATTTGTATCATACTAACAGCAGAAGCCTGAATACCTTGGGGGTTATGTAGCAAAAGAAGAGGTAGAGGAAAACTGGGAAAAGTGAGGGGGGAAAGTGCCTTAGCCTGTACCTGCCATGCATTGTCCTTAGCCCCTTATGTGCTGAGGGGAGGGTGCCTGCAGCTCAGGGAAGACTGTTCTGCTTTCAGTATTGTTTCACACATCCTGAATATACAACTAGTTTTCTCAATTTTTTGGTTGGGTAAAAAAATAAAAGGTCTCTGAGGTGATGCTAAGTTGTTCCCGATCTGGCTTTAGCCCTTTGGTGAAAAGTATTGTCAGGCATTTGAACTAAAGGCTAAATGGGGCGCTGTTGCTGCTGGCTTTGAGAGATATGCAGGATCCATTTACCAAGCAGCTCTGTGCTCTCTTGCAGGTGGATCACACAATAATAATGTATCTCCTTGGACCAGATGGTGACTTTGTGGACTATTATGGCCAGAATAAGAGGAGCTCTGAGATTTCTGCTTCTATTGCTTCACACATGAGAAAATACAGATCCTAAAAGAGAAGATTTTCAAAGATTGATGCAAACATCTGCTGTAGGTTTGGCTGTAATTGTGCATTGTATTCAGTGGAGTTACCATTATGAAAAATCAGTAAACAGCCTTCCCAACGGATATTATCTGCAGCAAGATTTCAGCCATGAGAGGAAGCTTGGGATGTCTGTGAAACATTGTTGGGAGCAAAAAATGGAAAACACTCTGGAACCTCTGTATCACTGGCCAGACATCAGTGGAGGATGGTCGCAGCAGGAAGGTGATTACTTGATGAAAAGCCGTGTAAGCCATGGCAGCCTCAGAAGACCCATGCTATCTTTTTTTATTCCTGCGCTATTTTGCCTACAGGCAGAGGCACTTCCAATATTGTAAGCAGAAAGCCTTAAGAGTGCTTCTTTATTTAGGTTCAGAAGATGAAGAGCACTGAAACCTTTAGTAGCTTGTACACATGGGACCAGCCCTGTAATCTGTCTGATCTTTCTCATTTGAGCACAGAAGTGAAATATTTCTTCTTGACAATTTTCCCCTTATCCTTTGTGAACATTACTAATATTAGTTGGAAGGAAAAGGGTGCTAGGTTGCAAATATATTTTTCTTCTGGTTCGGTGCATACTCTCATCCTGACTTATGCTATAGTGAATAATGAAGTGGTGGGGATGAAGGGGATCTGTTTCTGTGCATAGGGCTGTCAGCCAGATAAATTTTATGCAGTGCTACATTTGAAAATAAAAGACTGCTTTGTACAATTGCTTTATTCCTTTTTAAGTTTTGCAGGAATCACCTTCCAGTAGATGAAAGAGTGAATGTATTGTATGTCAGGTACAGTATGAGGTCTTAATCTGCCAGTAGGGACAACATGCAGAGTAGAGAGTCCAGACTATGTCATCTCTTTTTCAGTTGTACCAAGGCTTATGTAAAAATGGTCTCAATGGTGGAGTAATTGTGGGGGTATCTTTTATTTTTATTTCTTAGTTTGAGTTGATTGGTAATAGAATACTCATCAGACTTCATTTTCTTACTGTGTTTTATCCCTCTTCAGAAAGTAGTGATCTTGTAGTATCACAAATCACAGCATAAGCTGGGTTGTTTATTTATTATCTCACTGAAACCAAAAGAATGACTCACAGGACATATGCAAAGAAAATTTCTTTGCATAAGTCCCACAATGTTTCAAACTGAATACAAATGCTACTACAGAAATTGATTTTGTGAACTCCTTTGTGTATGAAGTTACTTTATCTGGTAAGGTACTGGGTGGAAGAGGTATGGAATAAAATGCAGATGCTAGAGACAGCATCAGCTAGAGTAAGGAAATACTTTGCTAAAATCACTGCTGTGTGTTGAGTGAAAAATTGCAGATGTCACCAGGAATAAAGAAGCAAATGGAGAGAAATGGATGCAGATACTTCTAACGCATGCTTTTATAGTGTTTCAAGTAGAATTGAACCATTGATACTTAGTACAGAAAAGAACCTTCTTTGTGACCAGATTTCATATTTAAGTCCCTGTTGCTCTTAGCAGTCCTATCTTAGTTGTGAGTTTGCTGTGGGGTAAACTGTGGAAGCAAAACATTACAGTGTATTTCTGGGCTCCATAGGGAGAGGTTTTTCATCACAGTGCAGAAGTGTCTGAGATGTTCTTCACTGTGTGCTCCTTACCTCTGTCTCCTAGTATGTACAAGATACCAGTTAGTGACACTTTGTATAAACTTGCCTATGTCAGTTAAGCTATCATTAACACAGTGCTGTGTTCCTATGAAACTATTTCAGTTGTAATCAATGATTACTGATAGTAGGATTCTCATGCCTTTTTTTTTTTTTTTATCCTTTTCCTATGAGCAGCAAATAAGGCTGAGCTTTTACCTTTTTAAAACTTAAGTTCCTTATTACCTAAAAAAGAATTACAGGCTAAGACCAGAAACTCCCTGATAGCAAACTATGTGATTCTGTAAGGTTTTTTTTTTTTTTTTTTTTTCATTCAATGAAATTCTGAAACAGAAGACATTAAGTTAGGCTGAACAGTTTTAGAAATGGAGAGATAGCAGGGCACTCCTCTCCGACTGTGGGGTGTGAGGGAGAAAGTTCCTTTGCCTAGGGAAGGTGCAGTATCTGAAGTAAATTTCCATCTTCCTAAAATCCTGAAAAACAGCAAACTTACCAATTCTACATCAGTTATAAAACATTACTGGTGCAGGTAACAGTACATGTCAGCTCTTTATATAGTCTATACAGACTTTTCTGTAGTGAGCTCCTGAGGATATCAGGAAGGTTACTGTGACAGAACATGTCTAACACTTCACCCTTCTGATAAAGCTCTGCTACTGAAAAAAGATTCCTAAAAATCCAAGCTGCTTTTTGCGTCTCAAATACTAGATAGATTAAAGAAGGATGATGTGTGGTGTTTTTTTGGTTTTTTTTTCCCTTTTTTAAAGGATCACCAAGATTTTTTTAGAATTAATTTGCGGTGAAAGTTTTAGTCTCTTAGAATTTAACCTTCGTTCCCAGCTGTTGAATTTTTTTCTTGTGCTGACTGGTTTGATTGCAGTTAGTATATTGTAGGCATCAGACTTCTTAGTGCTTATATAAATGTCAAGCTAGGCAACACTGCTTTGGCAGCATTTTGGCAATAGGGGACTGAACAGCATCATCGGCCAGTGTCACAGAGTACTGCAAGCCTTGGTACGATGAGGCTGTTGGCAAGGTGTCCTTCAAGAACAGGCTGGCTACTGCAGTCCATGGCGTTGAGCTTTAGGTTGCAAAGATGGCCTTTTAAGAAAGCTGGCTGAAACTTAGCATCCTCCCACAGCCACCTGGCCCCATTTCATCCTTGCTGCTTGTTAGCTGTTAACAGCCAGAGGAAGAGAGCATCCTCATCCCTGTCCCAGATCAAGGCTGTGTGTGATTGGAGATTTTTCCTTTTCTCCAGTAACTTTGCAGGGATCTACACTTTTTCTGAGCCTTTTTTCACTTCATCAGACTTGAGTGGTCCAAGCACTGGACCCGTGTTATAAAGATATCTTCCCATCAGCCAGTAGGGAGACCTGTGGGATGAATAAGGGGTCTCAGGTGCTCTTTGGTGAGCTACAGTATGGAGCTGAAGGCTGGGCATTGCTGTCTTGTGCTCTTTTTTGCCTAACTAAATCAGTATGTATTCTCAGTCAGGGAAAACAAGTAGCGTACTGACAGCCGAGAAGTCAGAGCTATGGATAGTCTGCCATGATGCTAGGGGTCCTGAGACTCTTGGTTGCAGCCAGGGCTTTCCAGTCCCTGCTGCTGAAGTGGGGTGCTCACTTGGAGGTCTCAGGAAGAGTGGCTCCAAGACACTGTGTATTGGGGCTGCTAAGGAGCTGCCCAACCTTAGGACATTGAATATGCATATTCAAGTTATGTTCTGGGCTGTGCTAGCTGATGGAAGGACGCAGTCCTTGCTATTAGATGTGAACTGATAGGCAGGTCAGTTTTACTGTGTAGTTCTTAGGTTTAGAAAGGTTTAGTTCAATTCACATGGAAATCAAATTGTTTCCAGAAATCTGCATTGCTACTGGAGTATTTAGCCCCTGACTTCTGATCAGCTCTATATCAGTTGTGCACATTCCTGGGAGTATGAGGACTTGTGCTGTGGAAACCTGGGCATGAATGAATGCATCTGTCTTGTGCAAGAGCCAGCTCATTCCGTGTTTTAAGCTGTGTATTTCTAGTCTAATAAAGCAGGTTCCTTCAGCATACTAGGGAACTTACTCAGCTGTAGTGTATGAAACCTCCTTATTCTCCCAGAGTTCTTTGTATCCAGTTGGATTTTGAGTATCTCCAAAGATACTCAACACTCCACACCTTCTTTGGGCAACCTGTTCCAATGTTCAGCCACTCCCACAGTCAGTACCTTAGTTCAAAGCACCAGGCCCAAAGCCTGCACTCGTCTTGCTCAAATTGCCCAGCCTGATACACACTTCACTTCCTGGCCAGCCTTTGCTCAGCAGAAGCAGCTCTGTGATCCATGTTTACCTTCAGCTTCAAATTTTCCTGAGGTCTAGCAGGTTCCTCCTCGTAAACAGGGTACTGACAATCAATGGAGACCTGCCTGGAGCTTGCCTCACACTTTGCAGCAGCTCAGTATCTATCGTGGAGACCAGGCCCTGTGATTCAATAGAGCTAGGAGAGGCAGAGGTGGCACTTGTGTGGCCTGTCTTACATAATGGTTTTGTGGTTAGGAGACTCATCCTGCAAGATCCCCAAGGCTTAGGCTCCCTCTAATCAGAAAGGATTTAGATATTCTCTAGCCATAGGAGTGTGGCAGAGAGTAGGTCTCTACAGCAACAGAAACGAAACTCAAGAGGTTATACGGGGTGCATGATCGTCAGCCAAGTACTGTAACCTCTGTGCTACAGCTGGGCTTCCTTCTTCAGCTCTACTTCTGGCACTGACTCTTAACATCTTTGCCACACTGCATCCCCAGTTCTTTGGGGAAGGTGGGAGATCAGAGTTGAAAAACCTCAAGGTAAGAAAGATTTTGATTTCAGGTCTCCTATTTCCTGGTGGCTTGTCCTGCTGGAAGTGATCAAAGCCATCCATGTTAGAAAGTGTGGGAAGCCACAAGAATTGCTCATTTTTGGCTGTGTCTGCACTGCCCCATGCACCCTGCAGCTCCAGAGCAAGCAGGTGGTGTTAGTTGAAGCTCATCCAAAGGGTCACCCTCAGCACTTCAGAGCTGCCTGCAGCACCTTCACCTCTGTGCTGTATGGGCTTACAGCAACTGTGATGGCTTTCCTGAAAGGCCTCAGCCAGCCCTAGGCATCCTTAGGTTAAATATAACCTCATGCCAAAGTAATAGAATCTACCTCATTTATTGAGCTGTCCCTTTCTGCCACACCATTTCTTAAGTTATTTGAGATATTTGCCCCTGCAGTGTCCTGTGGGAAAGTTTTATTTAGTTTAAAACTGGGGTATGTGTAAGGTGCTTCCTTTTCTCTGCAATGCACAGCCTGATAATTTCAGCTTGTTTTTCCTTTAGGAGAAATAATGTACAATTCTTCTGTGTTGTGGGAATGGTTCTCTGTACCATTCATGATTTTGCAGACTTCTAACATCTCTCGTTTTCACTTCATTGTTTTTCACCCCCAAATCCAAATCAATTTATGCTCTACTTATAGAAAAGCTGTTTCATACCTTTATTTCTCATTTCTGGATCAGTTCTTGTACAACTATATCCTTTCTAAGAGGTATGATCAGTAATGATGTGAGTGAACCGTGGATTGGTACATCCTATATGAGGCTCTTCCTTTTCTCCCTTTCTTTCCCAACAATTCATAATATTCCAGTGCTTCCTACCCTCTGCTGAGCACTGAACTGGCATTATCTTAGAAGCATTTACAGTGACACAGATCTTTTTTGTGAGTAGTAGTTAATATACAGTCCCTCATTCTATATGGAGCCTTTCAATGAATCCTAGTTACTCAAGTGTTTGAACCTTTTTATAAAGGTATCTAGAGACGCATATCATGAAGTTGCTTTTGAAAGCTGCATCCCTAATTCTTCATTTCTCCAGAGAAGCCCAGAATCATTCCACCAGTCAGGACCTGAGCTTGGAACCTGTATTAATTCTTCCAGAATAAAATAGGATTCCAGTAACACTATTTCCTCCTCGGGTTGGGCTAGTCAGCTAGGAGCAGATTACTGAAGCAACAATTACAGCATATACAGTTAAGAATGGTGTGAAAAGTTGTCTGGAGAAATGACAACAGGATTTTCAAATTCCTTCCTGGCTTGGTGAGGCCAAGATAGGCTGCTGCCATCTGTGTACATCTGTTTTTCTGCACGCCCACTTTCCACATCCACATGTCCACAGGCTTCTGCTGCATAACGAGAGGTTGACCCCCAATGTGAGTCCAGAAGACGGTGCTATTTGGTAGGGATAGACCCTTTGTTTAATTAGGAATGGCAACCACTAGGAGTGGAACAAACCTGTTCAACCTAGGATTTGCTGTTGATGAATCTTGTGCAGTTAACGTGTCCTAGTCCTGTGGCATTGTACAGCATGCATCTTGGTGGCTGAAAGGAGGACAGACCAGCACCAGTTTCAGTCCTACCTCTATTTATTATAGCCACGAGGAGCAGTGGCCTGAAGTTCATAGGCAGCATATAGAAAGCAGCATATGTAGAAAGATCGCGTCCAGCACAAATTCTGGCTGCATGGATGCAGCAATTTCAGGACAGTAAATTTACATCCTGTAAACTTGCCAGCATCGTAGAGTTTCCAGCTGGCAGCAGTGTCTGCTATAATCACCATATCTTGTTCTGCATAGTTAAACCAAAAGAAAAATCTGAATTAGAGAAGCCTTATAACTTCTCTGTGTCTGCCCTACCTGCGTATACACAGAAGGGCATCTAGTGTTACTGAACCAACATTAACCCTTTTCCTTCTGAATTACAGATGGTTACTGTCAGACCTGATGATGTGTATGTCATGAATCCCCCTACATTTGGCAGACTTGAGGATATGGCTATGCTAACCTGCCCACATGAACTTGCTGTCCTGTATAACCTCAAGGACGACTACAGCTTCTGGATGATCTGTGTAAGTACCCATTCATTGTGAAGGAGAAAATCCAAGTGCCAGGGAGATGGACTTTAATGACTCTCCTCTTCTGTTTCTTTTCTGTAGACCTACTCAGGTCTCTTCTGTGTCACTGTCAACCCCTACAAGTGGCTGCTGGTATACAACCCAGAGGTGATGTTGGCCTACTGAGGCAAAAAGTGCCCGGTGGCCGCTCCACCTGTCTTCTCCATCTCTGACAACACCTTTCAGCCCATGTCAAACGATGAGCTTCAGCAAAGAACTGTGTTAAAACATTGCTTCTGCTAAAGGGTCTTCCTATCCACCACAGGCTCACTTGCCTTCTTTGCCACCTTTTACTGTGTGCTACCCCGCTTTTTTATTCTGTGTTATGTTGCAAATTAGCTGCTTTGGCTCCTGACTCTTGAACTGTGAAATTACAGATGCCAATTTTGTCTCTGGATGACACAAAACCAGCTCCAGACTGTTTTCCCTGTGTCTTGAAATAAGCTTTATTTTTTGAAATGTGTTGTTGTACTCCACATCATATGCATTTCTGGTATAGGCACTAAGCTAAGCGCAGTAACAGGAAACAGCGCAAAATGTAGCTGTACTTGGATAGGATGCGCTATCTGGGAAGTCCCTATTCTACAGACCAGCACATAGCTTCAGGCAACAGCGGGTATATTCAGAACATAGCTGGAAGAAACCTTTTTGCCAAAATAGATGGTTTCAGTTGAATTAAGCCCTGTCTCATATTAAATAGTAATAAAGGTATGAATAGTAAAGACAAAAGAAAAGAGGAGAGTGCAAATGGAAAAAGATGGAAGGGAGGCAAAAATGGGCTATGGGTAGCAAAAGAGAGGAAGAAGGAGAGACCATGCATCTTTTTAGTTCTGCTTGCAGGGTCTGTGGTTCTCTCCCTTTGATGGACACTAGTTCACTGGTCACCTGAGAAGGAATACGCTTTCCTACAGCTTCTCTGACCACAGGTATTTTTCCCTTTGACATATCATGAAAATGAGTATTCTAATCACGTAAGTAGATCTGTTGCTTTGAATTCTATCTCCAACAAAAAGCTGGCAGGTAATTCTTCGTGCTGTGCTTTCTTTCCATACTGGAGAATACAGCGCAGGGAAGACTGAACACAAAACCTGTTGTCCAATACTTTGCAACAATTGCAGCAAGTGGAGACCTGGCCAAGAAGAAGGAATCCTGGATAAAAGTATGAGGAGAGAAGGCTTGACAGAGGAACAGTTCAGGACTTTATCAACTTGTGGCTGTGGACAGCATTGGCAACGTACATTGGCCTCAAAATATGAAGCCTTTTTTATTAGATTCAGCCACTCTCAAAAGAGCCACTGTCAGATACAAGCTACTGGGGCTGCCATTGTCACTGCTGTTGCCCGGGTGTAGCTTCCCCTGGATTGAAAATAGGTCTGGAAAACTGGAGTCTGGGAATAATCAGAACCTCCAGTTTCTTAATACAGACCAGACTGTGCCTATGGCTGGAAGATGAGAGTTCTGACCACAGGAGAAACTCTGAACATGAGCAAAATGAAATACTTATTATTTACACAGAGTGCTGATTCTTGGTGCTATAGCTGAGAAGCTAGCACAGTAACAGGCTGTTTATCTGAAAGAAAAAAAAGCACTTTGTGGCATACACAATCAGGTGAGTTGTAATATAGTAAATCTTTCCCACCACGTGTCCTGTGATGTTTTCGATGATTATTCAAATATTCTCACAGGGTACACTTGAAGATCAAATCATCAGTGCTAATCCACCACCGGAAGCCTTTGGGAATGACAAGACTATGAGAAATGACAACAGCTCACAGTTTGTAAGCAGCTGTGCTCCACTGGGTTTCTCTCTGCCCTCCTGTGTTTCTAATCCTCTTTACCTGCTTGTTAGTTGCAAAGGGGAACCACTGGACTGGAATAAATATTCTTATTAATTTCTTAGTTGTTTGTTAAATACTGATGTGTTTACAGCTGTTTCACATTCACATATGTGGGCTACAGAGTCTCTTCCTGTAGACTCCTTGTCTTCAGGGTTTGTTTCATGATCGTGCTGTTATTCTTACTTCTTGAACTACAACAAACTGTTCCTTTTTACCTACCTTGGAATATCTAAGGTAATTCAAACTGATTTGGATAGGCTGTCACTCAGACTCAAAATAAGAAAAACGCTCTGTAATGTTACCCCAGGGATGTCACACTGACCTCTCCTTTTTGTCTACTTGACAAGGTAAATTCATTTAAATTCATTTTGGTATCGCTGAAGAACTGGCCTATGGCAACACTGAGGCCTGTCAGTATATGAGAGGGGCTTAGGGGTTTATAATAAATGAAAGAGAGCTTGAAAAATTAGTATGTTCACATGTATTACAGACTTACTGGAAAAGTCAAGAGTCACTTTCCAGCTCAAAGCTGAGAGAGGTTAACACATTTTCTACCAGATCCTCTCCAATAAGAAGCCTGAACTGCTTGGTAAGGACAGTCACTAGGGGCCGTGACAGTATTTCTGCATGGTGGAGGGGAGTTCTATTATGGTGATGAACTGCCTAAGAGTACTCTGACCCAGATGTGTGAACCATCTCCCTGCAGGTGCACCAGGCACACCATTTCCAAGTCAGTCTATGAGAAGCTCTTCTTGTGGATGGTGATGTGCAATAAGCAACAACTGGATACAAAGCTGTCAAGACAGCACTTCACTGGGGTCTAAGACATTGCTGGATTTGAGATTGTTGAGGTCTGGTTTTGCATAGCGCTCTCAGACTTTTCACTGTCTTTCAAAGATTTTTTTTCCCTTCATTTGACTTTTCTGATCTTCATCCCTCCCCACCTTGATACAGCCCTCAAGAGCAAGATCCATCACTCACTCTTTTAAGACAAAGAAATGGCCGAGGCATAGCCAGGAACCTACTGTCTTCCTCCCTAGAGAATCTGTATTTAATTTTAGGATCACCCAGATACATCTCCGCTGCAGGCTACATCAGTCATGTGGTGCACAGTCCAAGTCTTCTGCAAGCCTGGACTACCCATGACATACCTTTTGTCCTATTTTCAAAACCCTTCATGGACAGCCTGGCTGATCTTGCCTTGACGTTTCTGCAAAATAAATTGACTGGAGTCAGTTTAACAATATTAAGACATCTACACAAATATTAGTTCAACAGCTTTGAGCAGCTCTGCATCAACTTAACGAACGAGAAACTGCAACAGTTCTTCAACTACCACATGTTTGTGCTGGAGCAGCAGGTGTACAAGAAGGAGGGAACTGAATGGATGTTCACTGACTTTGGGATGGACCTGTCTGCCAGCACTGGGCTCAAAGAAGAGGTGAATTTCTCACACAGCTCATGGAATCACAGAAATCAGAGTCAGAAAGGCTTTTTCAGAGTGTGTGCACTGAGTGCACCAATATAATTTCCTTGGGAAGCTGCCAGGTCTCTTTACGTCCTTCCTTCCTTTAGACATGCCCTTTGTGAGTACTTATTTGCTGACTTTCAGAAATTTATTCTGCCTTCTATGACGATATTGCTTTCATTTTGTTTTTCTTTCTTGCTTGCTTCCACATGATTCTGAGCTCTGTCATTTCATTGTCATGTTCACCCCAGTTGTATTCCACCTTTGCATATTGGTTCCTTCTCGGTATTTCATCTTGTGTGCTACCCCCCATGCTGCTTTTTACTGCTCTTATAGCAGACTTAGAGGAACAGTGAGCGATGAGTGTGCATGTGTGTTCCTTGGTTTAGTCTACTACAAGTCGGACATTCCAAAATGAAGTGCTATTGAAGTGATTTAAACTAATCAATCAGATTTTACACACCAGCTGATCAGGGAGTGCTTATATATCCTTTCTAGCAGCTGACCCATAGCGCTATATCTGTCATAAAAACTCTTTCCATGTGGATTTGTGTGAATGGGCTCTATATGTACATCTGTGTGTGGATGAAGAAATAGTTGCAAAAAATGGGTGGGCCAAAAAGGGGAAAATATGTACTGAAAGGCAGCATATGAAAGTCTCCCAAAAACTGAGAAGCTCTGGAGGCTGGTGATCTGAATGAATCCACAAGAACTGATGTAATCAGTACATGATGAATGCTAAATCTGTCCAAGGCCACCAGTGCATACTAGCATCAACAATGGGTTATGTAACTGTGACAACATACAAGAGGGTGGTGGCTGCTATACAATTGCAGAGTGATACATACCACCTGACAAATCAGGGAGCCCCTAAGGACTTTCTGAATATCCACCTAGAAGCTACTGGCCTGTCAGTACGATTCTATGCTTCTGAGCCAACAGCTAGGGTTGCCTCCCGGCTGTTGCTTTGGCTGGTAACTATGAATGAGCGTGTGTGAACAAGCTGTGAGGAAATAAGTGAATAGTGTCAGTAGTTATCTGCTATTACTAATAACAACTTGAGTTTATTAATCATAACAATTACTAAGAAATGTTCAAATAAATATTAATTGTGATCTGTGACTTTCCCATCGCAATCCCTTATCAGGGAAAGGGAATTTACAACATATTTTGATGGAAAAAGTCATGTGGGAACGCCTAGATCATAATCATTTTTTTTTCCTTCTGAGTGATCTTTTTGAATGCTCTAATCATACCTGCAAGATAATTCTATAAATCTGACCAGTTTATTATAATATCATTGTGAACGGTGCTTAACTAGAACCTTAAATGAAATTGAGAGCTTGAGAAAAGTCTTAAAAACACTCAGGAAAAGTCTAAGAAAAAGGAGACTAAAGAGCTATAAGAAGCCCCAAGAATGCTAGAGATTACAGCATGAAGCTGCAGGCACCTCTCCAAGAAGGGACGGAGGTACCTCTTCACCCCATAGTCTAGTGGGTGATACAGAATAAATATTCTCCTGTTATTGTAGAGCATATGAAGTGAAACTTTAGAATATACCTCCTGTGTCACTGGAACAATAATGGGAAGCTGCTAAAGCATTATGTGTCAGTTGCATTGATGTAACAGCATGAAATCAGTTGTTTCAGTAAGGTATGTTTTAAAAGAAACTATTAAGCAAGTCCAAACAAGTTTGCCTTTAGGAAAGGAGTATCATCTAGCAACTCAAAAATGTCATAAGGGTATGCAATTGGAATTAGAGAATCAGGTGAACTTAGAAGAACAGGAAGAAAAACAGCCGAAGTAAGTTGAAGGACTAACATGTATTGTGCAGTGATTCACCCTAGAGCAAGGGAGAGCGATTCCCTCATAGTAAACGTGAAACTAAAATTAGGCACTTGCAGAAAACAGATTGGGGTGCAAGTAAAGGAGAATTAAGAATAGGAGCTGTCAGAAGAAAATCTTTGAGATGATATATATGAATGGGAAAAAGAAGAGAATTTAGGAATAGTAGCATGTACAACAGCTGCTAGGACTACCATAACAGGGCAGAGAGGTGCTGCAGATCAAACTGCTGTTGTTGCGTTAAAAGAAATGACCCAGGAAATGTAAGACAGACAGCTGCAGATCTTGGGCTACTGAAAGAAAGCACCATTGTGGATTGGAATGTGGTACTTTTAGAAAATGCTTCAAACTTTTAATTAAATGGGTATGAAATAGGTAATTTGATTAGAGCTTGTGCTATACCAGCTGTTAGCCAGGTGCTGTGATTGGCAGCATTGATATTAATCCATCAGCTTAAGGGAAAAGATGGAGAACGTTTTATGAACAAATGAGGAGTTGCTCAAATACTGGCAGGACATAATATCATGTCAGTATCGGTCAACTACTCCTCATGGGACACAGGTATGTCTGACTCCCTTGGCAGTAGCAATGGTGAATCAAGTTCATTGCAGCACTGGCTGTCCAAATGCACCCCCAACTATTCTCAATGAATACCTGTGTGGCAAAATGCAGAGGAACCTATCTAGAATTAACTGGGTGGATAATGCAGAATACTACTAAGTATTAAGGCCTGGCTTTAGGAGAAAAGGAAGAAAATGGAGAAAGGGGAAAGTTTCTTGGGTGGGACAAGCAGGACCAGTGGCTTATAGTAACTGAGGAGATGGACAATGGAGGAGGAAAGGAAGTTGCCAAAGCAGAGGAATGGGGAGAGAGGTGCAGTAAACAATAATAATAGGGGTAGGAAATCAGAAGAAATGGACTAAATCCCTACAAGGCTGTGGAGAATATTAAAAGATTTATGAGAAGATATGGCAAAATGGAATGGGAGGAAAACACAGAACAAGCTAGAAAGAGTGATACAACTTGAAGAGAAACAGCTAGAAATAGTGATAAATTGTTGATTTCAGTAATATTCTTTTAAGCAAGTGTGTAAGTATAGAAAAAATGTAGAAGGGGTATCAAACAAGAAAGGAATGAGAAAGGAAGGTTTGGAACAGTGGGGAAACTAAGTGCTATGCACTTAAGTAATTAAAAAGTGAGAGAATTCTGGTTAAGCAAGCGTATGTGGAGTTCTGAGTGAATAGTAAACATTATGATTGAACCAGAATAGAAGTAACATTGAAAGGAGATGGTATAGATAAGTACTGGGGGGGCTTGCACCTGTCTAATAATTTTACCACTAAACCCTGCACTTCTCTAAGAGTAAAGAAGAAATGGCAAACAATATACATAATGAATGAGAATGATGAAAGTCTATACATAATGTAAAAACTGATAATATAAACAACTTTCTCTGTGGAATTCCACCTGTCTGCTACTGATTATTATTTATGTATGTATCTATGTATTATTTATGTACGAATGCTTACAGGATTCTTAATCTAAAGAATACTGGGAATTTGTCTTCTCTTTTCTCAGGTGAATTAAGCTGTCAACTTGAAGAAAAAGAAAGTATAACATCACAGCTGTCCAGAAGCAAACAGGCAATTGTGCAGCAAGTAGAAGAACTTAAAAGGTAGCTGGAGGAAGAGACCAAGGTAATGCCAACTACTCAGCACATGCTAAGCTTTCAAAAAATATCGGAGCCTCAGGTCATTTGAAAAACACTCTTACTTGAACACTTGGAAGTTTGTAAGCATTGCTGCCTACAGAGTAACACATAAAATTACTGCTGGGAAGGATATATGTACTGAGAACAGTGCTTAAGAAATGTTATGAAGACTCAGGAGGTCTCTGACACACTAGAAGTCATTTCACTTTTGGCTTTTTTTTGTTCCTATGTTTTTTAATCTTAAAGCCATGGTCTATGTGACCTCTTTTGGTCTCATAACTGCAGGGAAGAAAAGAAACAGCATGTGTCAAGGTGCGAGCATCGCTCTTGGTCTTTTCTAGTGGTATAGCGAGCTGCCTAAGCACTTTAAAACCTTTGGTCCTTTGTTTTCTGCCCAAGTTGCCTTTACCATGCTTTCAGTATGCCAGGTCATGTGAGTCACCTCCTGGTCAGAACTAACATGGTCACTCACAAATGCAGGATGTTATGTGGAATTTTTAGGCCAAGAGCATCCTGGCCCACGCCTCGCAGTCTGCTCACCATGACTGTGACTTGCTCCGGGAACAATATGAAGAGGAGCAGGAAGCCAAAGGTGAGCTGCACCATGCCCTATCCAAGGTCAACAGTGAAGTGGCCCAGTGGAGAACCAAATATGAGACGGACGCCATTCAGCGCATGGAGGAACTGGAGGAGGCCAAGTATGTAGGAGCTGGGAGTGGGAAAGGGTTGGAACTGTCCTGGTGTTATTGCACAGAGTATACTTTTAGTAGCCTAACCTGAATTGTTTCATGAGGGCTTGTATGTGCATTTAAATCAGAAAACAACCACTTCCATTGTTGTACCCACTGAATCATGTACCTAATACACTAATTTTTGGAATCACATACTTGTTTTATTTATAGTGCTTAAGGGAAAAAAAACACTTTCTTATCATCCCCAAGGGAGCAGGGAAGCATGCTGAGGCTGTGAATTCTAAGTGTGCCTCCTTGGAGAAGACAAAGTTGAGTTGCATGGAAAAGTGGACGATCTGACAGTGGATGTAGAGAGAGCAAACACACTGCCAGCTGCCCTTAACAAGAAGCAGAGAAACTTTCATAAGGTGATGTATGAGCACAGTATCTGTTAAAGTCTGGCCTTTCCAAAGGGCCAAACTAATATTCCCCACTTAATACCAAATCAGGTTAGTCTAACAAGTATAAGCTCTACTGTAGCATGGCAATGGCAATTAGTCCTGCTTTCAGAAATTGTCATATTTATTTAGCAAAGAAAATAACCACAGATAAAACATTTTAAATACCATCAGGGAGTCAAACATGATGTCTTTCAGATCCTAGCAGAATGGAAAGCAATGTAAGAGGAAAGTCAGTTGGAGCTGGAAGCTTCCTCTAAGGAATCAAGTTCACCGAACACAGAGCTTTTCAAAGCGAAAAATGCCTTTGAAGAAACTTTAGATCAGCTTGAAGCAATCAAATGAGAAAACAGGACTCTAAAGCGTAAGTATTTGGCTCTAGTTTCCCATTAGCTGTTCACACTCGTACCACAATAAGGCATTCTCTACAAGCATTCACTACCAAGAGTTTCTCCCTTTTTGTCTGCATGAGGTTCCCTAAGTTACAGAACTCTGTCATTAGTATTCTCTCTATTTTAACAGAGAATTTAAATGACTTCCCAAAAGCCATGGAGCAAGTTAGTGAAGTGACTAAGACAACAAAGCAAATTGGCTCTCAGTTGTCTCCTGCAGAACCATGAATTAAAAGACATTTAGCTGCCATTCCCAGACAAAGTGCAGTGCCATCAAGATGCTGTACAGCTTTTGAAAGTGCAATTTTACAAATGCACTGTTAACAGATAATGAAAAGAATTGTAGTATTACCCTAGTGGCCTGTCCAGAGACAAGCAGAGGCAAGTATCTTCCAGCCTTTCAGTTAGAAGTTCTACGAAACTACGCTAATGCACCTGTGTCTATGTCACCCTGCATGAGTTGGTTGTATGTTTTTATCTATACAAACATATATATATTTATACATGCATATGCCATATAGATCTCCCTCTATGTGTGTATATGGATAAAAGAGATGTTGATCACAGTCAACACAGTCAAAAGATAGAGTTCATCTCTGGCTACCACAAAGTGACATTGTTCTTATCTCACAGAGGAAATAGCTGATCTGACTGAACAAATGTCACTGAAAATGGCAAAACCATTTGAGACCTAGAGAAAGCCAAGAAACAAGCGGAAGTAGAAAAATCTGAGTTTCAGTTAGCTCTGAAAGAGGCAGAGGTGAGCTAGTTTCAATGCTACTCAGAGGCGAGGAGCAATCTGAACAGCTTTTTCCTCTCACATGGGCAGTGGCTGTGTGCAGGGGTGATTACCGTGGATTTTAAAATGAGTTGGTGTATGAAGTCACCTAGTGACATCCCATTGACTATCTTCTGTGAAACATTTCTTTTGTATTTGTTTTTTCTTCTTTTCTTTTAAAGGCAGCTCTTGAGCATGAAGAGGTCAAAATTCTTGGAATCAGCCTGGAACTGGCTCAGATTAAATCAGAAATTGAAAGAAAGATTGCTGAGAAAGACAAGGAGACTGACCAGTTAAAGAGGAACCATCAAAGGGCTATAGAGATAATGCAGGGTATTTTGGATGCTGAGATCAGGAGCAAAAGTGAATCCTTGAGGCTGAAGAGGAAGATGGAAGGAGATATCAATGAAATGGAGATTTGGCTGAGCCATGCCAACAGCATGGCTGCAGAGGCATAGAAAGATCTACACAACATTCAAGGAGTTCTCAAAGTCTTATTTTACCTTTCCAATTGATATATTCTTAAGTAGTATTAGGACAAAATTAGGTCTTTATATTCAGCACATACATCTGCACATGGATGATGCTCTCAGGACAAAAAAAGGAAGACCTGAAGTAGCAGGTGGCCATGGTGGAGCACAGAGCAAACCTGTTGTAGGCTGAAGCTGAGGAGCTACAGGCAGCTCTGGAACAGATGAAGCAGTCAAAGAAAGTGACTGAGCAATAACTGATGGATGCAACTGAACCTGTGCGGCTCCTCCATACCGAGGTATTTTGCTTTGCTACATTAGACATTAAAGCAAATATTCTTGTCAATTAGTGGACAACGACTCAGTCTGTGGGCCTTGCTGAAGATGCTCGATGTCAGTCAGACAGAAGCAAGAGGCAACTTGTCCTTCTGATAGATGAGTTATTAGGGCTGTTGTCATAATAATGAACTAAAAACAAAGTTAGTCAGCCTAAAACAAAAAGAACTTTCTCCAGTGCTGCATGAAAATGTAAAACAGCAAAAACCCTACAGTATTGAAGCCAGTGAAATTTTTAATGCATTTTAAATATTTATATTTTTCAGGATTCTATTTAAGTACTTTTCAAATGAGAATTGTGAATTTCCATTCAAAATTATTGCTATAAATCATTACTCTGTTCAAGGCCAGTGAAGCTCAGGCAAGCAATGGAGCTGGTGCATCATGGAACCTGTACAGGATCAAAATAAAATCTTAACATTTAAAAAAATTAATTTGAGTTTTTAAAAAAAGGAAAGTTTCTCCATTTTCCTATTAAAATGAGAAAAAAAAAACAGGTCATTTGAGATATTCTGTTTGAGTAAAACAGAAATAGAACATGAAAATGTAATATATTTATGTTTTACACATACATTTAAATATATATGTATGTATATGTTTAAAATGAAGGTATACATTTGCTATACTTAACATATATGCACACATATATATTTAATATATTAGATGTTTAAAATTTCAAATGTAATGATTTTGTTTTCATGGTTTTCAAATGGAAGATTTAGACCTTTTCAGGTAATTTGCTGCCAAAGCAATTTGTTGAATTTAACATAATTTGTAATAATGACATCCAATATTTCACCAAAATGTTTCCTTTGATTGTATACAATTAAATATTTGAGAGCAAAACATATGCTATGGTCTTAATACCATATAGATTGTTTTAAACTATTTTCTTTCTAAACTATTTTTTATTTTAAACTACGTCACTCGTCTTACAACAGTCGAGGCTATTATGGCAATAACACGGCATGCACTAAGGCATAGCTCAGAGACTCCATTACAGTCCATGCATAATATGCAGAGAAGGTCTTCCATTGTGCCATGCTCTGCTCCCACAGTTGAGCTGTGGCTTTTGCTTTACCCCATGGCATTTAGGTTTCCACGAAGGTTACAATAAATATCATACAGTGGGACAGAACATTTATCACCCTTTCTGCCTTTCTAAGCTCTGTGTGTACAGCAAGATAGATAGTTCCCTATCCTTTTTCCTGACGTTTCCTGTCATGTTTCATTGCAATGAATTAAGCAGGAAATGTGATGGTAGGAGTGTTTGGCAGGAACCAGGAGTAAATCCTCAGGCAGTGCACAGCATGCCCTGTTCTTACACATTCTTCCAATTTCTCATGTGATTTCCTTTCCAAGGCAGCCATGATGGCAGAAAAGCTGAAGAAGGAGCAGGACACCGGCACCCACCTGGAGAGGATGAAGAACCTGGACAAGATGGAGAAGGACCTGCAGCTCTATGTGGATAAAGCCAAGCAGCTGGCACTGAAGGGAGGCAAGAAGCAAATCCAGAAGATGGATTCCAGGGTGGGTGCCAGCACTGAACATGCATTTCAAAGGTACATGACTTTTCCGCTCCGTGTCCTGTGTGAGGGTCCAAGTCAATTGTGGATTGATTTTCCAGATCCAAGAGTTAGAACTGAGCTGGAAGTAGAACGTAAACAAGCTGCAGAGGCTATGAGAAACATTTGCAGATATGAATGGCATGTCGAAGAGCTTACTTTCCAGGTGGATGTAATTAAAAAGCAATTCTCCTAATGTTTTTTTTCCCAAGGACAAATAATTGCGCATTACCTTTCAACAGAATGAAGAAGACAGGAAGAACGTGATGAGGTTACAAGATCTGGCAGATGGACCGCAGATGAAAGTCCTATCCTACAAAAGACAAGCTGAGAAAGCTGTGAGTCACTAAGCTGAAGTGATATTTAGAGTTTTCTAGGACTGTCATTTCAAACGTTGGCTCTATGCCTCAGGATGTTGCTGGATGGTTTTAATTCCTTTTGTTTTGCTATTTCGGAATGAACAAGCTAATACTCATGTCTACAAATTCAGTAAAGTATAAGATAAGCTAGAAGAGGGTGAGGAACAGGCAGATACTGCTGAAACTCGATTCAACAAGCTCAGAGCTAAGAACTTCCTTCTACGAAGGTAAGCCTCTAATGCAGGAGGCAGTTGTTTTGAATGCTCAAGCAAGTCAACCGGTAGACACATGGTTTATTGGCAAATATAGCCATCCTGCAGGAAAGACAGCTCTAGAAGGAGGGAACTTCTGCATTTCAGAAACTGGTGCTGAGCATTTGCTTCTTGCTAGTGTTATCACAGCAGTTCCATCAGTTGAGAAACTGCCTCAGGAAAGGAAAGAAATGAGAACTGATCTAACTCTGAACGTTCCCAAAACAGCTTTCCTTTAGTAAATGATCTATGAAAACTTACCTGGCTGATTTTGTAGATCCTGGGAAAACTGCACTGCAGTCTACATTTCACGAACCCTTTCCTCTGGGCTGCAGACTTCATTAGCTCACACTTCTGTAGATTCTCAGTTTGCGTTCACTTCCCACCTCCAGTGCCCTGGGCCTCTTTCCTTCTGGCCAAGCAGCCGTTGGTAGGAAGAACTCATTTCTTTTCCTTCCATGCTACTCCCTACATCTCACAACTCTTTGACTCTCTAAGAGTACTGTGGGGAAAGTCTAATGTAAACATTGTGCAGCCTTAGGCAGAATTTATGTTCTGACCTAGAAATAGTCTGAGTATGCAACAGCACTGTGTCCTTAGCTGAGCTTCCCTGGCAGTTGTCTATCTCCATTCTAAGATTGTTTGGTACAAGATCCAGAGCCTGCTTTTCTGAATGTATCTGAGCAGATGTAACACCTTTTCACGGCCCTAGTCTAGTTCAGGTTGTGGCTGGAGGTGAAACAATCTCAGTCCACCATTCGCAAAATTGCTAGTGCCCAAAGCCCATATCCAGGAAATGGAGAACCAGGCTGCCTCCTGCTTACCCACAGCCTTTTCTTCCTCATACAGCATTTTAACTCTAAAAGAGACATTGTGGAGAACATACTTCCACCTGAAAGCTTTAGCCTGGGACTCAAAAGAGCTGGATGCCAACGTTGGTTCTGCAACTTTCAATGAGCTAGGTCTCCATGTTCTGGTAAAGGGTCTTGACTCCTCAGTGCTCGTCAGGGTATGCTGCTGAGACCACCACTGAGGCGCTCAGAGGGCTGAGTCCAGGTGTCTCACTTCCTGAACAAAAGCTCTAGACAGGAGGTTACTTTTAAGAGGGAATGGTGAATCCTGAATTGAATCGAAAGCCCTGACAGGGGCAAGATTTCCCCTATCTCCTATTGGGTAGCTCTGGATAAAGTTAGGTTAAACATGTTTCCTATGGGTAACTCTCTATGCAATGTGCTTTAGCTTTAGAGCCTGATCTGAGGTGCTTGATGCTATGCACTATAGGGAGCCTGGGCACCCAGAACAAATTCTGTATTCTACTCTGAGTGACCTGAAAATTAAGCATTGTAATGCCTAAATCTTTTAATAGATTCAATAGATCATAGATCCGTTTAATCCCTCCATGCTTTACATTCTCTTTTGAAAGTGCTGTAATACTCCTTGCCCCAGAGGGGGGCCTCACTGTTTAGATACTGCAGCAATAAGAAGCACTTTAGAAAAGCCAGCAGTCACATATCTCTACTTTAATCCAGCAGTCCTGGAGCAGGATATTCAGTGATATGCAACATGGGTCACACCCTTCAGATACTGCTACACTGACCTCCTGGGTTCCCTTGCACCTCCTAGTTGGATGCTGCATTCAGAAACGTGATTTTAGAGATCAGAAGTCCCATCTTGACATGAATGGACTAAACAAAGTCATTTCTTCCCAGGTGGTACCAGGGAGTGAAGAATGAGTTTCCTCTGGGGTAATAGGACCTTACAGAAAGTATATCTCTCCAGCTGTGGATTTGCAGTAGCTATAGCTATTATCAGGAAATAATCACAGAATCACAGGTTGAGGTTAAAAGGGACCTCTGGAGATCATCTAGACCAACCCCCTGCTCAAGGAGGGTCACCTACAGCACATTGCCCAGGATTGTGTCCAGATGGCTTTTGAATATTTCCAAGGATGAAGACTCCACAGCCTCCCTGGGCAACCTGTTCCAGTGCTCAGTCACCTTCACAGTAAAAAAGCTTTTCCTCAAGTTCAGAGGGAATTTCCTGTGTTTCAGTTTGTGCCGTTGTCTCTTGTCCTATCGCTGGGCACCACTGAGAAGAGTCTGGCTCCCCCTCAATCTGGGAGGCCAGAACTTGACACAGGACTCCAGGTGTGGGCTTACCAGGGCTGAGTAGAGGGGGAGGATAACGTCCCTTGACATACTGCCAATGCTTTTCCTAATGCAGCCCAGGATGCCCTCTTGGCCACAAGGGCACATTGCTGGCTAATGGTCGACTTGTTGTCCACCAGGACCCCCAGGTCTAACAATGCCAGGCCACACCTGGAGTCCTGTGTCCAGTTCTGGGCTCCCCAGGACAAGAGAGACATGGAGCTGCTGGAGTGAGTCCAGTGAAGGGCTACAAAGATGATGAAGGGACTGGAGCGTCTCTCATATGAGGAAAGGCTGCAAGAGCTGGGCCCGTTGAGCCTGGAGAAGAGAAGACTGAGAGGCAATCTTATCAATGTGTACAAGGATGTGAAGGGGAGGTGTCAAGAGGATGAGGCCGGCCTCTTCTCCATGGTGCCCAGTGACAGGACAAGAGGCAGCGGGCACAAACTGAACCACAGGAAGTTCCATCTAAACCTGAGAAAAAATTTCTTCACTGTGAGGGTGACAGAGCACTGGCACAGGTTGCCCAGAGAGGTAGTGGAGTCTCCTTCGCTGGAGATATTCAAAACCCGTCTGGATGTGATCCTGGGCAATATGCTCTAGAGGACCCTGCTTGAGCAGGGGGATTGGACTAGATGATCTCCAGAGGTCCCTTCCAACCTAAACCATTCTGTGATTCTGTGAAACTGAAACACAGGAAATTCCCTTGGAATATATCCCTTGGAGATATTCAAAAGCCATCTGGACACAATCCTGGGCAATGTGCTGTAGGTGACCCTCCTTGAGCAGGTGGGTTGGACTAGAGGATCTGCAGAGGTCCCTTTCAACCTCAATGGTTCTGTGATTCTCTGATATTCTCCCCCTTGACTACTTGTTCCTGCCTGATACAATTGCTGTGCTTTGGCCCGTGTGACCGTGAAGCCCTGAGGGAGACTGACTTGGCCAGCTGATCATTTTTGCAGCAGTGAGCCCCAAGCTCAGGGACTGGTGCACGCCCTCGGGGAGGGCTTGCTATAAGCCCAGCTGGGCAGTGTTTGTGGGACTGTGGCCTGGCCTTGTGTCCCTGGCAAATTCACAGCTCCCTCCTGGCCCCCAGATCCTGGGCTGTGAGATCCCAGCAAATCACCTGGCAGCCTCCTCTAGCCCAAGCTTGGGAGGAATGCGCCCCTCCTGACAACCTGGGGTACAACAGCCGATCGAGCGGGACTTCACAAGTAAAGAGTCTGTCCCCAGAAGGGGAGACAAGGCAGTGGGGGCTGCCGCGAAGGCCTGGAGGTTGCCCCTGCCAGGAGGATCACTCAAACACTCGTCTCCTTTCATCCTCAGTGTCAAGAGTTAAACATAGCCACCTCTTGCAAGACTCCTGAGCTGGGTCATGCCTGTTTCTGTAGATGATATGCTTCCACTAATAGCTCTCGAAGACATTCCTCAGCGGGTAGGTTGCCTTCTATATCTCACTGCAATGTGTTGCCATGTCAGGGTAGGACAACTGCGTTGTGCCCTAAGATGGCAGATGCTATTCTTATCTCAGAAAGATTTGCTCAGGCACAGCTCCTTTCTCAGCCGAAATGTTAAAAATCAGCAGTAGGCCTGAGCGTGCAAGAGCTCAACACTTGTAAGAGCATAAATCAAGAGTGGCCCCTTTAAAGTCAGTGGAGTGACACTGTGCGAACCCAGGACCTGGGCTCACACCATGCTCTCCTGGGACATGGCATGGTCACTTGGTTCCAGTGTTGATTCTCAGCTGGGAAGTGATTCGGGGTGGGGGGGCAGCATCATCTCTTGGACACTGGCAAATTTAAAAAAGGGCATGTTACCCTGAAAGTGCCCTTTTTGCTGATCAGAAAGAGGACCCTGGTTCATGAGTCCTTCTCCTGGGTGAGAAAGAAGAACTAGGGGTTGCTGCAAGCTTCCTCCAGCCTCGCTTGTGAGAAGAGTCAGCAGGGCTGCAGAAAGCCATGTCCCTTTGCTCAGCCAGGTAGAGCAGGAGCAGCGCATGAACATCTTCAGATCAAATACAGAAATAGGGTCCCCGTGCATTAGGTGTAATATGAGCAACTAAAATCACCTTCAAGCGGCTCTGTAGAAATAATTAGTTAGAATTATTGAGAAGAGAGGCAGTAAGAGTTACCGTAGTGTTGAGGTAGGATTTATACTGTACTTGGGAGTGCAAGGAGGAATCTGGGATGATGACAAGGAGATGGAAGTGTGTGAGGAAAAAAGCTAAGTGATTAGATGGTGGGGGACAGAAGAAATGACAACTCAGTGTCAGGTTTGGGGAAAGAAGGTCAGGAAAAATATGAGGGGAGATTATTAGGGAACCCTACAATAATAATCTGAAATTGACAATCTGACTTTAAACCCACCTTGATAGAGCTTTTAAAGCCTAATTTTAGTTCTGAAGAAATGATTCATTATATTTAATCTGTAAAGTAAAACTATGTTATTTCATTAATATTGCTAATGGGACAAAATTCACTCATGTCCCCACACTGTGCTATTTGGTGCTGGCTGCACTGCTGAGAAGAAAATATCCCCAGGCATTTTCTCAAACTCAGGAGTACAAAATACATTGGGAGGGTGGCCATGAAAAGCCAGGCTAACTCCATGCTTTCCCAGAAGAAATTACCTAATAAGTTTAATGACTACCGGGAGTACTGTCCCCTGCTGGAGTGTGGAAGCTGCCAGACACTGCCAGACCTCAGCTGTTCCTAGCCTACTCCCAGGGCAGGGAAAGTAGCCTGGGTTGTGGTCCATTGGCCACGACAGCTACTGCTATCTCTAGTAGGGAGTACATGGATGGGTATTTGCAGAGTGGCCCAAGTTAGGTGCTGCTCCTGGTCCTGTGGCCCTCGCTACAGGGACCTGAACTTGTCAGTCTGTGTGAGCCCAGCTCCTGGCTACTACCCATGCATACTTTTTCTGGAAGTTGAAGAATCTGCAAAAGAGAAAGAAAAGAACCTACAACTGGAGGAAGAGATGAGAGCAGCGTCTGAGCAGCTCTGAGTGGTGTTAGCCATTCCTCCCCTCCCCAGAAAGAGGGTGTAGATGTGTAACAGAGAAAGGATTGAATTAGTGGGTCTGAGGCAGGGGAGGATGGTGCACACAGCGTG